AGTTATTAAAATAGAGTTATATGAATTGACATTTAACTAAAAATCATAAGTTGATGTATTAGCATCTAAGCCATTTTCCATAGGGAATACAGTGAATATAAACCCAACTAAACCCATTACCATTAAGTCAATTTCCATTTATAGAAATTCTCCTTAGGGACTTTGATTCAAAAAAATCATTACAAGATAATGTCTCTCTCTCTCAACCACTTGTGGGTTGGAACAATCAACGTCTAGGTTAGTTAGCAGTCCAACACATTTTTTCCTATGCTAGCAGGACTCCTTTGCTTATGTCCACTAAATGCCTGGTGTCACTGAAATATACAATATTATTCTAGAGGTGACACTTTCTTTTTTTGGCATGGAATGTAATTTTACTCAAGTTCTATAAATTATTGTACCATATGCAACAATGTATCAAGATGAATCAATGATAAGATTTACAAATAGAAACTAGATAAAAAGTGCATGATAGAATCTCAGTTATTAAATAATCAATAAACTGATAAAGCATGTTGTTGTTTAATTGATAACTTTCGAGTCAAGCAGGCTTTATAGGGACTCTATGAACAAAAGGCCTGAATCCCCTCTACAACTATCAACATTTATCAAAGTTCATAGAGTTTTCGGAGGCAAGTTGTTTAGGAAGGTGATGTCACTCCTGTTTCTAAACCTGTCATAGAATGTTATTGGTTGAATCATGTGTGATACATAGTGACTCTATGTACAGCAGCTCTGAACTGTTCTCTGTCCTCAACCAGTCTCACTAATTCTGACACATCACTCCTACTGCCCCAGTTGCTGTATCAATCCATCTCATCTGGGGTCTTCCTCTCCTGCGCTGTCCATTCACCTTTCCTAGCATGATGTCCTTCTTCAAGGACCAATTTCTCCTGGCCACGTGCCTAAAGTAAGTGAAGTAGAGCTTCAAAATCATAGCCTCCAAGGAGAGACTTGTTTTCACCCTCTCCAAGACAGACTGATTTGTTTTCTTGTCAGTCCATGGTATGTTCAAGACTCTTCTCCAGGACCACAACTCAAAGGCATCTATTAGAAATCATAATATATAATCATGTGTACTCAGACATGATATGTTTAAACAAAATTATTTTTTCAAAGATTCATAGTAGAAAAATAAAGCAATAAATATTAAAATATTTTAACAAAGTTTAAATGAAAGGATGGTATTTTTATCCTTATTATTACCATTATGACTATTAATTGAAGCTAGCTTTGTAGATTTCTTCAAGAATCAACACTACAAAATACTGTTGTATTAACAGGGTAGAGGGACAAGTTTTGAAGTGCATTAGTCTGTAGTCCTACCACTTGATTACTGAGGGATCTAAGCAATTACGTGATATTAATTCACCCTGAGATTCACGTTGGGGAAATGATACAATTGTACGAGTTCAAAATGTCAGTAAGATTAGACATGATGTTTATAAAGTTATTAAAATAGTGCCTGCCTCCCATGTAAGCTCATTAAAGAAAACCAATCATCTTTAACTCCTTTTTACATTGACCCAGCATGAATAGAACTTTTACTTAAAAAGTATTCAAAATATATTTGACTGATTTTAGATTTTGTAATAATTAAATATATGTAAAGATCTTATATATCTTTCAGTAATTAACTGTCTCTAAAACGGAACTCAGTCCTTTAACCAAATCGTATTTACATCATGCAATCACTGGTGGACTAGTGGCAAGAAGTTGCACTGCAATCCCAAAGGCACATGATTCAAAGCCGCCAGCGGCTCCATGGGAGAAGGATGGGCCATCTCTTCCCCTGCAATTAACTGCCTCTGAAAGCCCATCAAGGAGTCAGCTATGGGTCTGTTCCTACTGACAGTAAACAACTACAATCATTGATACTCAGCATCTTAGAGAGAGACATACACACACACCTAGAAACTTTTGTTTAGTTCTTCTTCCTGAATATAATACAATTTTGCAATGTACTATATGTCCTCTTTGTTACCTTTTGTACATTATTCTTAATCATGCCTAGTTTAAGTCGTCAGTAATATCTATCCCTTCTAAAGTCTTTCATTTCTAGTTAACTGTTTAAAAAATATTTATAGCCAATAATATCTTTGTCCTAATTGATTTGAAGTAGCAAGAGATCACATAGCAAGGATGAGAAATGTGTTTATTAGAATGGTCTCATAGAAATTACATAGTAATCCAGGCATACGTGAACAGAATTGACTCTTTCTCCTTAATAAAAGTAATACCCTTTGGTTATGCACCCTGCCACCAGGGTTTATGGACACTTAGGTAGCAATCCTCTCTATCACATATCTTAAAATTGAATGTGTCTGTGTAAACAGGACATTCTGCAGTGTAACAATAATCTTCTAAAATATATACGATTAACGACTGAGATTTATAGGATTCCTCTGAGTCAAAATCCAGCAGATAGTAGTAGACTTGATTTTGTTGTTTCTAGGTAGCACTCCCCTTGCCAGATAGTCTTGAGGGAGATGAAAGTTATGTCTTCAGTATTATATGTAATGTAAATATTATCCTGGCTACACTGGAATGAATATCACAGAACTTGAAGCCCATGACTACATGAATAGGTAAAACATAGCAATTTACTGAAAAATAAAATACCCAGCTTATTACTGTTGAATTGAAAACAACTCAGAGCTTATTGTCCAGTGTGTTTTCAGAGGCTGTAAATTGCCCAGAAGGATACTGTCCATCTTTCTCCCTAAGCGCTGTGTGTGGATTTAAACATTTAGAGATAATCTTGACCAAACTGATATCTTGGTATTTAAAACATATCTTAAAAGTTTTTCTCCATAGACACAAAGTTTATTAATACCAGGATGTTATGAACAAGGAGGTATGAATTCTGTAGGAGCCTGTTGGTGAGGAAAAGCTTAAAGAGTTCAGCTGGCAAAAAAGACTGGAGATTCCAGTCTGCCCCAAATAGGAAGGGCCTCGTATTTCCAAAATATCAGTCACCAGACCCTGGGAGCACATTCTAAAACATGCAGGTTTTGAATGCGTCAGAATTTTCTTAATAGCAGTTGATTTTTAGTTCTAAAGGACTGGGAAAAAAAAACCTACAAAACATTCTTTACATTAGATGCTTTTTATTGAAAGAGTAATCAAATAACCTAAGCATTTGCTTCTGAGAGAGCAGAACTTGGGTGCTATCCAAATTTGTGCAGCAAATTAGTGTCTCACAGTAGTAACATTTTGGCTTCTAGTTTGGCCTTATCAAATTCATCTTCTATACGGATAGCAGACTGATTTTCCAGAAACCTCTTCTCTCTCACATAATGTTCCCATTTAAAAGTTCTAAGAGTTCCTAAAATTCAAGTATCTTAGTAAAATACATTAAAATTCCCATCATGTGGCCTTTGAATCTCTTACTCCTCTTTAGATCACAGTTCATATACTAGTAACACCGAAAGTCTTGTGATGTGCCACAAACATCAGGTAATTTCCAGTATATTAGGTTTTGAGAAAACATCCTAGACTGCAAAAATAGTAGTTTATACTTTCTTCAGCCTGCTAACTCTTCTGTATTCTTCTAACCTTATTTTGTTTAGTAAGTCTTCTCAGTAAACTCACAGAAGAAATTCACAAATGTTCTACAGGGACCCAGACTTTGCAGTTGAAATTGTAAACATTGAAAACTCCCACAGAAGGTAATTTGACAGGAATCTAGGAAATGTACAATTGCATACTCCCTTTGATCTCAGTTCTTACAATTTGCTCTATTGATAGATTTGTATACATTCAACATGAAGCATGTGCAATCTTATTTATTTCATCATTGTCAGTAAGAAGAAACTGGGTGAGAAGGAAAGGCATATTAATAAAGGATATTTAAAATGAACAGCTTTACATCTCTAAGGAACATTATTTAATGGGGAGGAAGGCCCAAACTATTGAGAGTATTATTATCTGATGTTCATATGAAAAGATCCCCAACAGATATTTAGAAGGGGCGGAGAAAGATGGCAAATGCAGCAGTATGCATTCATTTTATTTTCTTGAAATGTATACTGAAAATTTTCAAACAGTAATTAAGTAAAGGTACATTTAAGGGTAGGAAGAGATCAGATAGATTTCATGTGTGTAATTGGCAGTCTTTACTTAAGTGAGATGGGAAAGTACACAGATATAAGAGTTTCAAAACACTGACACAGCTTGTCACTGGCATATCTGACATTCTTTGGAGGAAAGAGTTGTTTTTTTCACACTGACAGCAACCTTGCTTTGCAGTAATAACTAGAACCATGCTTGATATTTCCCAGTTCCCAACTAAAACAGAGACCTTTCTGCAACTGTGAAATCAGAGTTAATTATTTTGTTTAATCTTGTCTTTATTATTCTTTCCCCCTGATTTAACCAAATAAGAATAAACAGTTCCTGAGACTCTGGACCTTCTGATTTTCTGATCTAATTTAGATACTAAAGAATAAAAGAACGCATGCTGTGTTTCTGAAATTTAATTACGGGGTTAAATGGGAGTGATGGGGAGACAGTATTGGTTCTAATATAAATTACCTTCTCTCGGCGGGAGGAGCATTATCTGCTGCTTGAACAGTGAGTGCGTAGGTCCGGCCGACTATCAGTTCCACCCCTGGAGCGATGGTGATAAGCCCTGTTGTTTTATTGATGATGAAGTCTCCCTGAGCCCCAACCAGGATTTCATAAGTGATCTCCCCATTTGACCCTTCGTCTGCGTCGACAGCAGTGAGCTGGAATTGAAAATCACAACAAAAATACTCTTGGGACTCCACCTTTAACCACTGTATCATTTCTTCCCCAACAAAAGAAGCACCCTTTCAAAGACCAAAAAAATGTATAAGGACAGAATTTCATACACATTCTTACATTTTTGGATTGAGGCTACTTGTTATGTTCAGATACTGAAATAATCATTGCAGGATTCCCCTCCTCTTTTTCTTAGAGAGTGACAAGGAAAAGTTATTGGTTCTCAAATATTGTTTTAATATCATAAAGGAGAAAAGAGGAAACCCCTAACAAAATCTAATATCCATATGGGAAACTTATTTTCTCCTCTCTATTTTAATCTCTGCTCTAGGCTCATAAACATATATTGTTATAGACAAAGGCTAGGGGGGAATAAGTGAAACTTTTCTTTACTGCTAATTTTTCCTCTCTTTTTTTTCTTTCTATTTTGTTTTATCTATAGTCTTCTCTGTCCTGAGACCTTTTCTTCCTGTTTTTATTTGCAATTGGCTTTATGAAAGACTCCTAACTGTGTTAACATTGATGTATAAAGGACTATGAAAGTCTACACAAAATTGGCGAAATAGATTACCCATTGGAAAATACCAAGGCTAAAGTACGAGGCAGGAGCTCTGGTGGCACAGTGGAAACTGCTGCACTTCCAACAGGAAGGGATGTGGTTTGACTCTATCAGCTTTGTGAGAAAAAGATGAGCCATCTCCTCCTACATGATTTACTGCTTCCGAAAACCGATTGGTTCAACAAAAACAAGGGAGGGGAGAGAAAAATCTATTTGCTATCCCTGGATTAAATCACATAAACATCTGTATAGCAACATTGCATATATTTAAAACCATTTTGTGGACACTTGGAATGAATAGTTAAATATGTTTGGGCTATTAGGTGTAAAAATGAGAATAGCTATTATTAACTATATAAAGTAGAAATGATTTATAAAGCAATGGTCTTTGATTTCTCACATAGAAACATTTGCTTAAGAGAAAATAAATAAGTAAAAATGGATCCTCAGAGGAAATATTGTAACAGGAATTTCATATACAGAATGGATGAAGAAAATTAAATGGTATCTTAAATACACAAAATAGAAAAAACAAAAACTTTTCTGCTGAGTAAATAAGCATAATTATAATGAATTAGCCTATGAAAAAGTATTCTTATCAGACATTTGCATTTTTTTTCTACTTCCTATGTTTACTTTGAAAAAAATGTTATTTTATAGACAGATGGGGTGGGGGAAGATCAAAATAGATGTTAGAAGAGACACTAAAAATTATACTACAGCATTTTGTTGTTGTTGTTATGTGCTGTTGAGTCACCTGTGACTCATAGCGACCCTATGTACAACAGCCCTAAACCCTGCTCTATCCTGTGCCAATCTTATTGTCTCTGTCCCACCTATCCCCATCATCGCAATAACCAAATCAACCCATCTCATTGAGGATCTTCCTCTCCTGCACTGTCCTTCCACCCTCCCAAACATGACATCCCTCTCCAACTACTGATCCCACCTTGCAATATATCCAAGTATGTCAGACAAAGCTTCACACTAGGACAGAGAGAAGCCAAAACAAAGGGAAAAGATACAGAAATTAACAAAGATTTAAAAGGCTAGCTCAAAAAGACAAAACAAATGATTACAACAGAATGTGCAAAGAGCTAGAGTCAGAGAATAAAAGGGAAGAATTCACTTGGCATTTTCAAGCAAAGAGAACTGTAGTACAAATTCAAGCCTCAACTTGCAACACTGACAGATGTTATCAGCAATATATTGAAAGATGCAGCAACCATCAAAAGAAGATTAAAGAAATACACAGAGTTACTGTAGCAAACAGAATTGGTGAACATTGAACCATTTCAGGAAGTAGTATATGATCAAGAGCACTGAAGAAAGAAATTCCATGTGCACTGAAGCCATTGGCATAAAATAAGGCCTCAGGAAAAATGGGAAACCAATTGACATGTTTCAACTAATAGATACAACCCTGTCCTGCTCATCAGTCTATGCTCAGAAATTTGATGGCCAACTGAGTGAAATACTTATTTCCATTTCTATGAAAGGTGATCCAACAAAATGTGAAAATGGTCAAACAATATCACTAACATCTCATAAAAGCAAAATATTGCTGAAGACCATTATAAAACAGATTTGTTGTTGTTGTTGTTGTAGTGTGCTGTAGAGTCAGAACTAACCCATAGCTGACCACCTGGTGTGTATTCAGAGGCAGTTAATCACACAGGAGAATGCCCATCCTTTTGCCTTGAAGCAGCTGGTGGCTTCAAATATTGTGCCTTCTGTAAATTCCAGCTGGATTTGGGAAAGATACTAGGGATATCATTGCTGATGTCAGATTGATCTTGACTTAGAGCAAAGGATACCAGAACAATGTCTTTTTCTGTTTTGTGACTATGTAAAGGCAGTTAATGGTGTAGAGTATAAACATTGAGAATGAGAATCTTAGAACATTTAGTCATGCTCATATGACACCTATACCTCTGCAAAGAAGTTCTTGATCCACCAGAGCAATGGAACACTATAGGACTGAAAATCAAGAAATGTGTGCGTCAGGACTGTATAATTTTTATCTGTATATTCAATCTATACCCTGAGCAAATAATTTAGGTAGCTGCACTCTATGAATAAGAATGCTGTAGCATCAAGATTTGAAGAAGACTCATCAACACCCTGCGTTATGCTGAGGATACAACTTCACTTGCTGAAAGTGAGAAGGATTTGAAACACTTGCTGCAGAAGACCACAACCTTCCATGTAGTTTACATCTCAACATTAAGAAGGCAAAGATCATCACCATCAAGATACTAGGAAACAACATCATGACAGACGGAGGAAAAAAATTGAGACTCAATGATTTTATCTTACGTGGATCCACAAGAGCAAGGGCTACATGGCGGTGACCATATTTGACTTTTATCAGCTTCTTAAAGGGCAACTGTCCCCGTCAATAGTTTCAACAACACGAAAACTATTCCCATGAGGTCAGGCAGTCACGTTCCCACACCTCTCTCTACTCAATTTAACACCAATGTTACTGCTTTATTGGACCCAAAATCTGATGCAATAGCTTCCTGACCACAGAGAACCATACTGGGGAAGTTAAAAGTTTCCAACACAGGATAGTAGTTGAATACAGTTAGGACATCTTCTGAAATGTGCTTGCAGGTACCGTAGCCTTGAGCTTTATGTCTTTATAACAGTGTTGGAAAGTTCTCAGTTATGCCAGTATTAGCTCTCTATCCTATCCCCTACCCCTTAGTTGCCCAACAAACTTGGGCAAAGGCTCTTAGCTCTGGTTCTATGGGAGATAGAAGTCCCAAGGTCAGCTCTGTCTGACGTTGGGTCTCTGGTTCTCTTCTTTAGCCACTCCTGCTGATGTTATAAATCTCAATAGTGCTGATGCTGTAGGTCTAGCTGGCATAAGAATTTCTAGTCTGAAAGGTACCCACTGCATGGCTGTTTCTTCTTGTTGGTGGTGAGATTCTCCGCTACTGATGGGTCTACTAAACTTAATGGCAAGACTAGCCAATTCTCTTACAGATTAGTGAGACTGATAAAAGTCATCACTCTACTTGGGGATTGGTACGATTAACCCATTCCCTAGTGGATAGTTTAACATGCCCTGTTTGCATAGTCCCACTAATCCCATGACAAAGACAAAAATAAGTGGCTAGAAAAGCCATTTTGAACAGTAAACACCACAGTGTTGTATTGGGAAAGTCTGTTGTTAGGGACCTTTCCAAAGTACTGAGGTACAAAGATATCACTTAAGAGACTAAAGTGCACCTTTAGGTTCAGGACATGGTCTTTTCAATCACTGGCTGTGCATGTGAGAGCTGGACAATGAATAAAGGTGCTAGAAGAAAAACTGCTGCCCTCGAGTTGAGAAGAGTACTGAATATCCAAAAGAGCAGGTGTGTTTTGCAGAAGGTGCTGCAAGAGCATTCTTTAGAGGCAAGGATGGTGAAGTTTCACTTCACATAGTCTGGGTATGTTGTTAGCAGAAGCTGTTCCTTGTAAAGAGACATCATGCTTAGAAAAGTGGAAGATCAATGAAAGAGGAAAAGATCCTCATTGAGATGTGTTGACCCAGTGACTACAGGAATTGGCTCAAGTGTGTCAGAGGTGATGAGGATGGCCCAGTATAGGCCAGAGGTCAGATCTGCTGTTAATTGAGTCCTAGCCGACTCAACAACATATAACAGCAACAGTGTTTATTTGGGGTATATTCTTGGAAGAAGCAGTCCTTGCAGAGGAGACAGTGCAAAGAAAGGAGTAGTATTAGGGCAAGTGAGGAAGACCCTCAGCAAAATGGATTGATACGGTGGTGGCCACAATGGGCTTAAGTATGACAGAGATCATGAGGCTTGTGCAGGAGAGGGCAAATTGCAGTATTTTCGCTCATAGGGTCACTATGAGTCATAGTAGACTTGAGAGCACCTAACAAGAACAACTACAGTAACATGTTCCTCTGTTTTAAAGTAGTAGTATTGCTCAGTCTCTTTGGAGCTCATAGACGCCTTTGCACCTGGTAGAAACTCTACGAAGCACTAGTTAAAAATTGTGAATGTGACACTCACTTGGGAACTTGAATTTAATCCCTGGAAACCCACGGTAAAAAAACAAAAAACAAAAAACAAAACAAACAAAAAACAAACCAACAAAAAAACCCCAAAACAGTGCACTTGATGACTCATGTTTAATATACTGGGGAATTCCAAGCACTTATGTATGCTAAAAGGCTTACTAGATATATTGTGTGTATTAAAATTATACTTTTATTATGTTTTACATTTAAATGAAAATTCACCCAGAAATAACAACAGCAAAAATAGTTGAGAAGAAAAAAGAAGGTAAATAGAGGATTTGAGAGACCAAGATTAAAACTACCATTTCCCGAGACTGGTTATTTGTGGAAGAACAGCTGTGGGTAATAGAAGAAAAGGCATTTAATAAAATGGTACTAGAACT